GGCGATATACCTCTCTATGCAGCCGCTGACATGCCGGCTTTTTGTACGCCGCTATCGAACAGAATCCCTTAGAAAACCGTGAGTTTCTGTTCTCGACTTCGCTATCAATATCTACTCTCTTCCAATCCGCATCAATCGGTAATCATTCTCCAAAAATAATAAAAAATTGCAGTATTATTTAAGAGGGAGAGGTGCATCAAGCTGCTTGGTATTCGTTATTATCTTAATTATCGATCTTTAAACAATGTAATCTACTAATATGGATCTGAGATTGCTAATTAAATTTAATTTGATTTTTGAGTTACCGAAAAATTCCATAATTCTCGATTAAGAATATTAATCGCAATGATCATTATGTATAATACATATGGTAAAAAAAAGAAAATGTTTTGTCAATCTAGAGCTTGAAATGCCGCTCAACTAAACCGGGAAGGTTCAAAACGAGTACTAACAGCAAGCAGAAGAGAAACGGAATGACATGGCGAGAGAAAGCACGAGAGAAAAGGTAGAAGCGGAATAAAGAGGCGTATAGGTAAGTCTGGTCCTCGATGCAGGTACGGCGGTACTTTTGGAAGAAAAGGAGAGAAGAGAAAAAGAAATCAAAGAGAGAAGCAATGCCGTATCACGATATCTTCCTATCCCTCAAACTCACCAGTTCATGTATTCATGCTTGCTATCAAAACTATCGCCAATATCGTCAAAAATTTTAAATTATATATACATAATTATAAAAAAAAAAGAATAATATTTTACATAATATTTTAAGAAAGTATGTAGCTGTATTTCCGAAACATTATAGCTTTGTTCCAAATCTAATAAAGAATCTAATAAAGAATTATTAATTGCCATCGTAAACGCATTTATACAATCAAACAGCAATTTACAACTTATAATTATTTAAGAGTAAAGAATAATTCTTTCGAAATAGTAAGAGTGATATAAATTGTTATACAGGTGTCCATCTTAGAGGCCCAACGTTAGAGCAGCAGTTCGATCGCACCCTATA